AAGAAGAAGAAGAAGAAGAAGAAGAAGAAGAAGAAGAAGAAGAAGAAGAAGAATGCTACTTATAATAGTAATAATATGATTGTAATCATTACATGTATTGAATTACTTGTGTCTGCTTATTTATCACATGCAGCTGATTAGAATTATGTCACTAATAGACCCCTCCAGGTTCTAAGTATTGGTGGCTGGTTCGAATTTTTTCGTTCTTTTTTTCATTCACCTTTTTCTACTTTGTGGGGAAGGGGGGTGGAGGGAGTTATTTGCGCTCATATGACCTTATGCTGTTGCGCGCGCCGTAAAACCCCGTACTATTAAAAAAAAAGGGAAGTTATTTTAAAAAGGTATTCTTTCCTTTCTTTCGATTTTCGTTTATAATAAGTCATGATTCAGGAAAGGGGGCAACGAGTACGAAAGAGGCAACCCTCCCTCCCTCCTTCTCTCCCTCTCCCTCTCCCTCTCCCTCAACCTTCTCCTATCCCCCCCTTCCCCCAACCTACATGATCCCCCTCCCTCCCTCTCTCCCCCTCCCTTAACCTTCTCTCACCAACCCCCCCCACCCCTCCCGCTCAACCTCAATGACCCCCCACCCTCTCTCGCGCCAATCAGTAAATCATAAACGTAGGTAGAGCTGCCACGCAATGCGATGGCCAGTCAAAGACGGACGTTTATGTGTGTGTGTGTGTGAGAGAGAGAGAGAGAGAGAGAGAGAGAGAGAGAGAGAGAGAGAGAGAGAGAGAGAGAGAGAGAGAGCCATGAAAGAAAGGGCCACCGTGTAGGTCGGGAGATGTCCTCAGTATAGGAGGACACCTGCCTTGTCGACCGGGGTCATCATCAAAGAACCCACACAGTCACAGAACACGGGGAGGCCCTCAAATGGGAGGTATCCACAACTTACATAGAGAGCTTGTCTTCAGTTCGACCTGAGAGACATTGTTATTGTGGTTTGTTGTTGTTGTTGTTGTTGTTGTTGTTGTTGATTTTGTTGTTGTTGTTGTTGTTGTTGCACACGTCAAAGCATCCTCAAAGCACAAACACACTCACAGAACACGCAGTCACAGAACATGGCCTCCCCGTGTCCACCACTCACAGAGAGATTGTCTTCAGTTCGACCCGACATCGAATGTTGTTGTGGTTTCTATTTATTTTGTTGTTGTTGTTGCTGCTGTTGTTGTTGTAGTTGCACGTCACCAAAGCTCAAACACACTCACAGAACACGTGTCATCATCAAAGAACACACACAGTCAGAGAACACGGCTGCCCATGTTCACAGCTAACACAGAGAGCTTGTTTTCAGTTCGACCTCAGAGCAAATGTATTATTGTGGTTGTTAGTTGTTGTTGCTGTTGCTGTTGTTGTTGTTGTTGTTGTTGTTGTTGTTGTTGTTGTTGTTGTTGTGTGTGTGTGATATTGCCCAATAGAACCCTTTCTTTTTTTTTGGCTTTGTGTGTTTGTTTGTTTGTCCGTTTGATTTTGTTCCTCTGTCGTGTTGAATTGAGAGGAGTACGCGTCTATTCATAAAATATCATAAGGCGCAGACATAATATGTGCTAAAGGCTTTTAAGATAAGAAGAGATCATTGAAATCTTTCCAAAAACTCTCTCTTTCTCTCTTTCTCTCTTTCTCCCCCCCCCCCCA